TATCTCACCAAGGTGCATGCTAACGATTGATATGCAGAAAACCTATGATTATGTGGAATGGGTATATCTTGAATAGGTGATGAGAATGCTTGGTATTCAAGAAAAGTTTGTAAAGTGGGTAATGTTATGTATTAGCACAATCTCTTATTTTATCATAATTAATTGTAAGCTAACCAAGCCTTTTGAAGCAAGGAAAGGACTTAGACATAGGGATCCCCTATCACCATCGCTATTTGTGATGACCATGTAGTACTTGTGCAGACTAATGAAGCAACTGAGGAACAACAAGGAATTCAAATTTCACCCAAGATGTGCTAAAGTCAATCAGTACAATTGGAATTTGTTGATGACTTATTGCTTTTCTATAAGGGAGACATACAGTCTGTCAAGACTCTGCACAAGCAATTTCAGACTTTCTCTGTAGCTTCAGGTCAAATTGCAAAATCCAAACAAAAGCTGTATCTATTTTGGAGGAGTGGACAATAGGACACAACATAATATTATGGAATTGTTAGGATACACTAAAGGATATCTACCTTTTAGATACCTTGATGTTCCTTTGAGTACAAAGAGGTTGATAGCAATGCAATGTGAACCCCTAATTGATAGAATACTAAGCAGAATTCAGTGTTGCACAATAAAGTTTTTTTTATCATATGCAGGTAGAGCAATGCTGATCGAGAGTGTGTTAGTGGCAATTTAGAATTTCTGGGTTTATACCACCAAAAAGGATTATACAGTTTATAGAAATAATATGCAGGAGATTTCTATTGTCGGGCAGTGATGAACCAGACAAGAGGGATTGCTCTGATGGTAAGCAACCCCCACTTCCAACCGAGAGGTTGTGAGTTCGAGTCTCCCCAAGAGCAAGGTGAGAAGTTCTTGAAGGGAAGGATGCCAGGGGTCTATTTGGAAACAGCCTCTCTACCCCAGGATAGGGGTAAGGTCTGCGTACACACTACCCTCATCAAATCCCATTAATGGGATTATACTGGGTTGTTATTGTTGTTGGGCAGTGCTGAACCAAATAAGAAGGCATTGATTACTTGGGATAAATTATGTGCTCCAAAGGCAACAGGAGGGTTAAACTTCATCAATGTGTAACTGTGGAATAAAGTAGCCATATGCGAGCTTCTTTGGAATATCTGCACGAAAGAAAGAAAAATTGTGGGTTCAATGGATACATGCCTACTATGTAAAAGGGAACACTATATGGAACACTAATCCAAAGAGTGCATCGTGGGTTATCCAAAAGATCTTCAAGGCCAAAAGACAGTTTGAAGAGGCTGGCTATTCAGTAGAAGAAGTGAATCAAATGGAAAAGTTCTCTATAAAGCACATATACAAAGCATTGCAAGGGAGCTTTCAAAAGGTGTCATGGAGGAAAATAGTCTGCAACAACAATGGGCTTCCAAAATGGATATTCATCTTAAGGTTGGCACTACAAGATAGGTAAGCCACCAAAGAAAGACTAGCAAAATAGGGATTAGTAGAAGATACAATATGTTCACTTGTTAGAGAAAGAATGGGGCAATACAACACTCATTTTATAAATGTGAATTATGATATGATGTATGACAGAAGCTTATACATTGGCAAGGAATCACGAGAAGGAAGAAAGATTGGCAAGAAGAAATATAGTGGACAACGAAAGTGGCCAAAGGGAAGAGTGCAGGAGCAACAATATACATAATGGTGTTTGCTGCAACAGTCTATCACATATGACAAGTAAGAAATAATTCCATTTTTCCAGAAGAAGAAGAATAATCCAAATGCTATAGTTAGATTAATCATCCAAGAGGTACACATTGGAGCTCAGCAGGTTGCAAAATTGGATAGCTATTTGAGTAATATGAGTTGGTAGCTAGACTGAGCTTAAGTGTAGAGGCAATAGGAGAATAAGAAGTAAGTTAGAAAATTTCCTTTTCATATCCAGCAGGAACTCTGTAAGGCGGATTGGATTTTGTAAAGATATAAATATTTACTTGGTAAATAAAGTCTTTAATTACCCAAAAAAAAATATTTATTATATTATAAAGAAAGATACATAACAAAAAAATTATTCAATGACTATATAAGTCCCTTTTATTTGATAGAAATTTTGTTCACACTAAAATTCATATAAATTGACAACAACATAATAAAATTTAAAATAAAAAATATTTCAAGATTAATAAAATATATATCTTTTCTTATATTACAAAAAAGACGAGCAAATAAACATTAAATAAAGTAATATACTAAATATTTACCGCGCATCGCGGGTACAACTACTGGTGTTCCTTAACGTGGACCGTAGGATCTTTATTTAACTACTTGATATGAACTGCTACAGTCTCACCCTTCCCCCTACGGATACTTTATCACAGACAAAAAAGGAAAAGAAAATCATCTCTTCCTTTTGTAACAAAAAAAAAAGATTTTTATTAAAAACAAATATTTGATCGGAAAGTTATTGCACAAGGGGGTTCCCTTTCCCATTCAAAAAGTGAGGGGGTATTGTTTCCCAACCCTTAAAGGTTACGGGGTTTAGTGGAATTGACTGACATAAAAATCCAAAATATAATAGTCTTGAGAATATATCCTTTTACCTCCCCATACAGTAGTCAATATGATCAATAATATTTATATTCATGTTCATATTTATTTCATTAAACAAAAAAAGACAAATTTTGCATGTTTGTCAAAATGGGGGACAATATTTAAATACCTGCGCAAAACTGATATATCTGTCAAATCACCCAAAAAATATTGGCCAGAGCCCAAAGCTAATAAACCTGGATTTTCACTTTTAGCCCACACCTGAAACTATTTACATTTGGTAACTAAAAAAGTGTATAAAATTTATATAACTTTTTTATATAACATACAGAAGGAACTAACTCCTCGTGGTCGGGAAAGCCAAACTTAATCTCAAGCTCAGCTAAGCGCTCGACCGTTATCGTGGATTGGAACTTTTTCGGTCACCACTTTTGATGATTTTTGAAAATCAGGTTTAGCGTCAGGGTATCGAGGTATAGTCTCCTCCACGAAGGGGAGAGTTTCATCATTAATGGGGGAGACAACATCTTCCACATGAACGGGAAATACGACAGCCAAAGGAACAAAATGATCCTCCACACTAGTATCAGGTGAAAGGTTTGACATAGCTATGCATAGGGGTTGCAAAATGGTTCAAAGAAAACAGTTAACCACCCATATTATCCAATAAAAATGGGTTGGATAATGAATTATTTAAAAACGGGTCAAATATGGATAAGAACCATATTATTCATTTAGAAAATGGGTAATCCATGAGTAACCAATGGATAACCAATGGGTCTAAATTTTACATTTGTAAAGCATCAAATTGGGAGTTCCTCAAGTTAGAGAGACTAAGAATTCTTCCAAAAGTGATCATATACAAGAAGTTATGGATAATATGGGTAACCCATATTATCCGCCGGTTAACCCGTTTTTTTATCCGTATTAAATATGGATCGGGTCGGATAATTAATCCATTTTTTCATTACCCATTTTCTCCCCGAACTATATCCGACCTGCCCGTTTGCCACTCCTAGCTATGCAGATTAGGAAGGAGATAGAGAAGGAAATCAGAAATACGAGGAAACCTTATGAAAAAAGGAAAGGAAATTCCAAAAGAAAAGTGAAGATAGCGTAAAAATTTGAATTTTGACAAAGCAATCCTTATTTATAGAGTTTAAAGCACCAAAATCAGAATGGTTCACCATAATTGGATTGTGAATCGAAACGACAGAGCCAATAAGAAATTACGCGATAATCGATGCAATGCGCCGGTAATTAACGTCAATATGATGCTTGACATCATGACATCACATTTTTTGTTGGACCAAATGGTTCCAACAAATCACCCTAAAACTTCAAGGATTTGAAATATGCGACCCACTAAGAGCCATGTCACTTGCTCGTCACAACAAAGACAACCAATGTTAACTGTTCAGTGAACTCGACTACAAAGACGACCACGAACGATATTATCCGCTCATTGAACCCCCTATACGGAGACGATCTCAACAAGCGGAGCTAATTATATGGGCAAAAAATTATCCTAGCTACATATGGGCCAAGTCAACATTAGGAGAGCCTTTGAAGGCTGCCACGCGTCACCAATGTTATTTCAACAAAGGATGAAGGCGAGGTCGATGAGTCAACATACATATGTCTTGGTCGAGGACGAGCGCTCTCCTTAATGGAGCACTAACAATTAGTTTTAGAAATAAGACTTTAAGGAGAATATTCTAATAAATATTCGTGGAATCTATACAATTAGGGATTTGTGGTCGATGTACCCTTATAAATATAAAAATATGTATTTATGGGGGTTGGGATGCTCATTATAAAAGAATAATACTTTCACATTCTCTGAATACTCTTTCTTTATATGCATACAAAATATATTTTTCCCTCGTACCTCACTTTTAACCTTTCTCTCACGATCCAAGAGGAATTTCACCGGATTCAATTCTTTTTCGTTTATACCACTTGCATTTATCTACTTAAATGCCATTATATTTATTTATTACTCCTTTCGATCAATAATAAGTGTCCAATTTACTTTATAATTTTGGTCCAAAATAAGTGTTTAGATAATCACGAAAAAATTAAATTTATTTTTACACTTTTACCCTTATGTGCATATCCCTAAAAATAAATTTCTCTCTCATCACATTAACTTACTAAATAAGGGTAATTTAGTCATACAAAGTAATTTTGTATAGGATTTAGTATTGTTTTAATGGATGTGCTAAAAAGTAAATTGGACACTTATTGTGGACCAGAGGGATTACTATTTGATGTTAATCCAAATCCTAAACTGCTACAGTCTCTGTCGTTTAGATTCACAAAAAAAAAGGGAAAAGAAAATCATCTCTTCCTTTTGTTCTTATTTTAACCCTAGAAAGAAACCCATTTGTCTTCACTTCAACTGTTGCTGGGTTTGGATCGTTTCCTCCAGGACACGGGTAAACTAATTCAATATAGTATTTATTTTTGCAATTTCTATAATATTTGAAAATTTTCAGTCTTTGAACCCTAAAACGAACATAAAATTGGGGCCTGCAATTTCTATTTGTTCCTCCTCCTTTGTGTTTGTCGAAGCAAATTTTCAGCCTTTAAACTCTTAACCAACATAAATTCTGTAAAAATAATTATAAAAATCCAGTCTTTGGTTCCAAAGTTTGGAACTTTTTTCTATTTTGAACTTGGGATGATCCTGCTCTGCTATAATATATTTTTGGATTACTACTTTTTTTAAAACTATTATTTCATTCGTTATGACATTGAAGGAGAGCCTTGGAGCAACATTATAGTTTGTTTCAGTGTGACTTATAGGTTACTGGTTGAGCCGTGGAATCAACCACTCGTGCTTGCATAGGGGTAGACTGCTTACATCATATGCGGTCCTTCCTCGGACCCTTCGTAAACACGGGATCGGGGTGCTTCGTGCATCGGGCTGCATTGCCTGGCCTTTATGACATAGACTTACAATTTTTGACTAATCTATAATGTTTCTGCAAAATTTATTTAATTAAGGTAGTGGCTTGTAGTTGTTTGGTGCCGTTTTCCCCTTAATTTGCTCATATGATTGATTGATTGCTTCTGAAGTTGATTTTGGATCATAAATCTCTAACTGAATTGTGAATATATTATCAGCTAATATTATCATCATTCGAGTTTGATAAGTATTTTGGGTTCTTGGAATTAGATGGGATGATTTCCAAGAAATTGTTAAAGTTTTGATTTTGACGGGTGAATTTGATTGATTCTTAAATCTTGATGCTGCCATGAGTGTTTTATTTATTCTTTCCTTAGTTGTTTTTTTTTTTTTTTGTGGGATTTGTTTGTTGAAGCACAAAATGTTGCTATACTCTCTTGTTTCCAATTGTCCCTCTGCATTTATTCTTCTCTATATTTTTGTTTGTTTTTGTTTCGTTGCAGCTGTGAACTTTACGTGAATAAGTGAAATCCTGTTAACAGGTTCTCCAGCGTATCCTTCTCCTTAATTTTATCCCTTTCTAGTGAACCTTATATCTCTTTAATATAAGATTGGCAAAACTTGTATCAATATAAATAAAAAATTTATGATTAAATGTATGTGTCTATCTATATGCAGCTAGATGGGTGAAGTTCTTCCTCTGTGTGCCTCTCCTCATGGCTTATTCCTCTACACTTGGACGGTTTCCTCTCAGAAGTGCTGGCGGAGCTTGAAGACTGCGATTTCATTTGTTAAGAAGTTTAGGTGGGCATGGCCGTCTTCAATGGGTGGTCCACCAAATGGTGGTAGTAAGTCTCTTTCCTAAAGATTGATATTATAAGTTTTGGCCTGCAATAATTTTTTGATAAGAATGATAGCCCAAAAAAGCAGTAGGATTTTTAAATATTATCCAAGTAGGCTGGCATGTAAAGCTTGTTTTTTTCCATTTACCATAAGCTTCTTGGAGGCCAAGGCCACCAACATTCTTATGCTTCGTGACAATGTCGAAATTTAAGAGTTTCTGTAAGTATAGCTTTTCTGGTCCAACCCTTCCAAACCAACTAAGAAGAACCGAACTCTTTTTTGTTATGAATCAGCCCCAGCCCAATGTCTCACAAGTAGCTATTAGGCTGACTGCTGAGAAGAGCTTTTGGGCCGAAAACAAGTAATAGGGTCAGGTTAATTTGGGATCCAGGTTGAGTGTATGATTCAAGGATGGTTCAGTTAAAAGGGGGACTGGGCGGTTATTTTGAGATGAGGCATATTGTTGAGAAAGGTGTCCGTTTCTCCTCGTCTCCCGTTATTTAAGTCTAATCTTCTTATCCACTTCTTCTATCTATCCGTAGTTACTTTACTTCCAGCAATTTCTATTGTAATTCTGCTACTAAGTTGTTGCACTTTGATATTTGAGTTGTAAACTTGTAATCACATTTCAGTCTTATTAATAGAGTGGAGTCAGTTACAGATCTATTCCTGTCTCACTTATGAAGAGTTACTTCAACATTTCCTTGGTCATTTCTGGCCACTACCTTTCTGCAGATTTGACATTTTACAGTTGTGAAGATATTTACTAAACTTCTTGGTTAACCATACTCACGAAAGAAAAGATGAGTAGCTTTATATAGTGCTTTTTTGCTTGAGTGTCAGATAAATGCCACGATTACTTTACTGATACTCTTTGGAGACGAGATACTGCTTCTTTTTAGACTTTGAGGTGGTGATTTTATGTGAAAAGTTGCCCGCTTCAAATTTCCTATTGTGCTTGTTCATGGTCTCTTGTGCTCGATTTTGTGTTTTTGTAACTTTCTTTATGACGTAAATAGATTTTTCTCGTGTTTTTCAGGGCCTCTCGTAATGGGTGTTGAGATGTTGTGGTGGTCTTTGGGCATCCTTCCCTTCGGTTGCATGGTCACTGCCATTCTGAATTTTGTTCATGATCCGATATCTTTCGTCTTTCTATTTATGTTAACGGGGAGCTATATTTTTCATATAGCTGTGCTATACTCTATTGTTTATTGGCATCAGTACATGCCTTACCGGTTAATTGGTGCCAAGGCGAAATTTATGATTGAGGTCATTCCTATGATAACTGCAGCAGCCTTGCATCACCTTTTGGAGTTCAATTATGGGCATCTCGCTCTACTGCTATGCTGCACCACATATTTTTACTCCTTTGCCCACTTCTTGCACTTAGCATATGATATCGGGGGAATAGACGTATTGCTGGGAATAGTCATGCAAGTTCTTGCTTACATGCTGAACGTAGAATTGTTAGTTAGAGCTTTGGCTTTGAGCTTCTGCTTTGTTTTATGTTTCTATAGATACATGACGTATTGTGCTCCTGAACTACCTGTTCATCATAAAAAGGAGTTGGAGCAGCTACCTTGTTGATCTGTATGTACTTTTTGAAAGTAATAGAGAAACTTGCAATTAATTTTTTGTCATGTAATCTTCTTTTTGTCTGTTTAATCTATCAGGGTTTCTTTCACCTTCTTTAGCCGAGGGTATATCGGAAACAGTCTCTCCGCCCTTCCAGGGCAGAGGTAAGACTGTGGATATCCTGTCCTCCCCAGACTCTACTTGTGGGATTATATTGGATGGTGGTTGTTTTTGTTGTCATGTAATGAGCCCTTGGTTCACACCTCTGCTCTTCTTGCTTACATGCAGGTTCTTTAATTTTTTTTATCCCCATGAAAAAGTGGAATAACTAATCCCGGAATAATTAATCCTGATATAACTCTTTCCAACCAAATGACCCCTGAGGGTTGTAAGTCGTTGGATACTGTATAATACAACCATTGGATAACAGACATCATCAAAGAAAAAGTTCAAAACTTGAAACTACAAAAGGAAAAAGAGAATTTCAATTTGTCAGGTATATTTAAATTTCAAATCACTTTTATCTATATCAATAATACGCGACATAATTCAAGAATTTAATAAATAGTAAAACATTTTTATACAATATTTTAAAAAGGGCGGATACGAGGCGAGGTATTTTACTGTATATAGCAAGGTGCAAGCCTCGAGGCATTGGGCTTGAGCCCCACGTGTTTTTACATTTTTAATATTTTAAAATTAATATAATAAAATAAATACTAAATAAGACAAAATTACAAAGAGATTTTAGAAATTTCAAGAAATTATAAAATAAATGATACAATTACTTTATCTTAAAAAGCTAATTTGCTCCGCAATTGACTAAAAAATTAATCCAAAATTGCTTCATACAAAAATTATCAGACTGAAAAAATTGAGTAGAAATTTATAACTAACTTAAAAGAGCAAAATAACTTAAAAATAAAGAACAAAAGAAGGAACATAAATCAGAAGCATTGAACCAGAGCGAATCATGAAGATATGTTTTTATTTTGTAGTTTGCAAATTGGTAATTTTTTCTTTACGATGTAAGACATGAAGAGAAAGAATAAAAATTACGGGGTATTGTGAATTATAAAAATTGTGAATGTTTGATTTGAATTCTTATTCCAAATTAGAATACCATAATATGTTTGGTTTGATAATGTATATTAAATTAGAATATTTTTGTATATTTTCAGAATAAATGGGAATATTTGGAGGTATATCATGTACTAATACTTTTGGGATTAATGTAATTTTAAAATTGAGGTATATCATGAAAGTAAATCTCTCGAATTGGTGTACAGACAGACCTCTCTATAACAACGTCCCTATACAATAGTCATTCATTATAAAAGCATAATTTTTCTCAGAATTGATCTTTTATATTATACTTTATCTCTATATAGTAGCTTTCTGCCTATAAAGCAACAACCATCTTTATGAGAGTACGCTCCTTTTAAAATAACTCCTCTATAACAGCCATGCAGATTTTCTAAGATTATTATTAATAATAATTCTAAGTATTTTAATGAAATATTTTATAACTTTAATATAAAATTTATAATAGAAATATATATCTTAAAGATAATAGTACGCTCCATGAAAATATGCACATTATTATTATTTTTTTTAAGTTCTAAATGATATGTTTTTCTTTAGAAAAATATCAAAAGATACTTAAAAGATTTGTCTATACTTTTTGAAGATAAGCATATCATTTTTTTTTTTGATTCAATTGTTAAGCTCTTAGATTGCCTTCAAGGAAAAATAATTGGATATCCTTTTGCTGAAAGTTTGGATGCAAATCTTCGCCGATTCAAGCGTTATACCGCTAGTACGAGACTGGAATCTACGAAACAAGCTACAATTATGGAGTTCTTCCATCAATCTTCAAAGTTTTAATTGTGCGCCTTAGAGTTTAATGTTTGTACGTTTAGTTATGATTTTTTAAAATAATGTATTAGATTTATTTAGCATTTAATTCGTGAAATATTCATATCTTTTGAGATTTTGAATTTGAATATCTTTTTACCTTTATATGTAATATTAAAAAATTAATATTTTTGATAATTTTTGTCTGTAACATCCAAAATATATTCAAACGCCAAATGTTATTATAGGTGTATAACAACCATTCACTATAAAAGTCAAAACTTTTCAGAACAAACGATGTTATAGAGAGATTTGGCTGTATATCATAAAACCTTTGCCTAGGCCTCCAATTCTTTGTGGGCCAGTTTTCCTTTACGAAGAATTAACACAAATAATCACCCTTTAATTTCTTAAATTAAAAGTAGTTGGCGGATGTATAATGATAAAGTTCAAGTATAATATGTGTATAACTATATATAAATAATATATAATCTATATATAACGGTTAAAAAAAGTAAACTGTGAATCTGGCCGACTATTTGTGTAACAATCCCTTTCTTTATTGTGTCTTTATGATTAATTTTCCTTTTCAAAATTAGTGAATATCATAAGGTAGAAAAGTATAAAATAGTTATGTAATTTGTATTTTCTTTTCTTCTCTTACTAATTTATTCCTTCGAAAACAAGGCAAATGACATAAATTAATTTTACATTTATTGTCATTATTTCTTATATTTCAGCGCGATAACAAGCAAAATGAATTAGAATAGTGAAATTCTTCTGCTTTGGAGTTTTTACTTTATAGGTGTATGTCATGACCCGAAATTCCCATCACCGGGAGTCGTGATGGCACCTATTAATAGGAGATAGGCAAGCCAACTCTTACTTATATATCTATTTTTAGCAACACTTATTTTAAAACAATTAGCAATAAATAATACGAATATTGGGGAGTAATTAAAATTAGCGGAAGACTTTATAAATTACTAGATGCGGTACTGAAATCCCAACATAAAATACTACCAAAGAACTGGTGTCACAATACTCACGAACTTCTAAGAATAATACACATAATGATCTGAAAGAAATATAATATTGTTTGTCTCGAATACATGAGATAACAGATTGAAAGTAAGACAGAAGAAACACCGGGTCTTGCGGATGCATGCAAGACTACCTTGGTGTCTCAAAATGACCAAAGGATAACACCCGTGCTACTACCGCTGCTGCTGTCCAAGACATCTATCTGCGCAAAAAGAGCGCAGAGTGTAGAATCAGCACAACGGATCCCATGTGCTGGTAAGTGCCCGGCCTATCCCGGCGAAGCAAGTGACAAGGCTAGGACCGGACACTCACATAAACTTGTACAGTTCATAATATACATATATACCGCAAAAATCACAGAATAATAACAATTAATATCTGGGGAGGAAAATCATGCTCTGGGTAATAACAAGATATAATGGCAGAATATAATCATAAAAATAAAGGAATCTCAATTAAGGAGAACGGGTAAATCAATATCTGCACGGCACCAACCATCGTGCTTTTACTCTCGTTCTCACCAATACAATTATATAAAGTACACGGCAACACCCATCGTGCTTTTCCTCCCATACTCTCATATCAAGGCACGTAATGATCCTTCATGCATAAATATTCATAACATGGCACGGAATGATCCTTCGTGCATAAATATTCATAACATGGCACGGAATGATCCTTCGTGCATAAATATTCATAACATGGTACGGAAAGACCCATCGTGCATAATCACTCTTCCTCGCCAATTCAATAATCACAACCAATCAGGGCAAGGGAAATAAATAGATAATATTAAATATCCCAACAAGGGAGAATACAATAACATCAGTCAATACATTCCAGTAAGGGAACAATTATATATCTTTTTCTTCTTATTCACTTCTTACTAAATTCTCATATCATCATTTGAGCCAATGCTCCAGGAAAATTATCTTTTATAATTTCCTTCTCACACTTATCACATTATTTATGGTTTAACAATTAAGAGCGGAAAAGTCACATCAATATCAAATAATCACGAGTAAAGACTCACGGTCATGCTAGACCCCAAACATATGGATACTTGTCACCATGCCCATACGTCGGACCTCGCACATAGCAATTAGCAAATAGACTCACTCCTATTCCCTCAAGCTAGGATAGATCAAACACTTACCTCGAAGGTTTAGGGCAAATTCAATCCTTAAGCAATGCCCTTTCCTTTCGAATATGGCTCCAATTCAATTGTATCTATACGGAATTGATTTAATATCATCAATTCTACTCAACAAAATATTCCAAATGGCTAAATATACATTTCACAACATTCTGCCATGAATAGTGAAAATCAACCCCGGGCCCATGTGGCCAAAACACGAGGTTCGAACCAATTTCCGACAACCCATACATTCACGAGTTCAACCATGCCAAAATTACTAAATTTCGATAACATTTCGACCCTCAAATCCTCAAATCTATTCGAGAGGGTTTCTAAGCTTTTTCCCGCTAAATTCACGGATTTAGTGCCAAAACTTGTAATAGATTCGAGTAATATAACCAAAATTAAGTTAAGAACACTTACCCCATTGTTCTCTCCAAAAATCTCCCGAAGAATCGCCTTATCCGAGCTCCAAATGGGTAAAAATTGAAAATGGGACAAAGTCCCATTTTCAGAAACAAAACATTCTGGCAAAAATTTCCGAGGTTACTGTTCACCCCGTGTTACTGTTCACAGGTACTTTACACGGGGTACTGTATACAATACTGTACACGGGGTACTGTACATGGGGTACTGTCACACCTCCCTTTCCGCACCCGCGAGGGCGCAAGGGAGTTTTTCCAATTAAAGGACAAGCGAATGAGATTTGTTTATCTATTTCAGTGTCGCCACTTGGGAGATTTAGGGTGTCCCAAGTCACCGGTTTTAATCCCGAATCGAGGAAAAGAATGACTCTGTTTAACAGTCCGCGAACCAGAAATCCAGATAAGGAATTTTGTTAACCCGGGAGAAGGTGTTAAGCATTCCGAGTTCCGTGGTTTTAGCACGGTCGCTCAACTGTCATATTCGGCTTATTATCTGATTTTTAACAATTATGAACTTATGTGCAAATTTTAACTCTTTTACCGCTTTTATTATTATTAATGTTATTTTTACAGAGAATTGCAACATCGTGAAAATGCATCT